AACATTCTGATGATAGTTATATATAAAGGCATATGCATATGAATCAAAGAAACTCTCTATATACTATGTGAAAGAGGTATGCCATGGCTGTGAGACTGTGTAATGACATGACCCAGCCAAAGAATGTTAAATTACCTGCAGATGAACAAGCTTTCAGCAACCAGTGTTGAGTATCTTTTGCATAAGTGTTTTTCAGAAAAATAACTTATGGTATTACATATTTTGGCAATAGGAACATTCCAACTTTGCAAATAATTTTATCATTCTAGCAGACTAAACTATGGGTCCCAATCTTCATTTACATCCATGCTCTTGACATAGCTTCATAGTGGACCTAGCCATATGACTGGCTTTGGCCTGGGATCTCAGCAGGGTTAATACAGGCAAAGTCCTGAGAGGTACTTCCATTATTTGTTTCCCTCTTACGTGTGCCATCACCATGAGAGAAACACAACCTCCAGCCTGAATCCAGGAAAAATATATGTGAGGCAGAACCAGAGCAGCTGACCCACAGGTCCGCAGCTTGAAGCAGACCTGCTCAGGCTACTTTCGGTTGTCTGTTAAGTATCATTACTGTGGCAATAGCTAACTGATAAAATCATGCTAAAGAATAATATATCTTCAATAATATATTCTGAAACATATGTGGAAAAGATCCTAAATAGGTCAGAACAGGACATGAAAGTATTATTTTTAAATTGCTGAGCATACTAATAATGCCAATAGTATTTCCATTTGTCAGAAAAAGATGACAACACATAACATGGACTTCCAAAAAGTTCAGACTAAATGAAAAAATGGAGAAAATGTTTACTGCAGTGAGTATATGCACCTTGTCATTTCTAGGTCCACCACCAACATACCCACCAGCATGAATGGAGGAAAGAAAGAGTCAATCACTTGAATTCTGTTGGAATTGCTGTTGTCCAGCAGAATAAACATTGTGATACTACGGACCTAAACAATCATCTTTGAGTTTTAAGTGCAGGCCACTGCTAGACATTTCCTGGCAAAGACACAGCAGGATAAACAGCATGTTCATATGTGATTAAAACCACAGGTACCTCATTAAATGTGACCACTTGGCTGGGCACAGTGGCTCACCCATGTAATCCCAGCACTTTGGGAGACTGAGGGGGGAGGATCGCTTGAGCCCAGGAGTTTGAGACCAGCCTGGGCAACACAGCGAGACCCCATCTCTACAAAAGATAAGAAAAATTAGCTGGGCATGGTAGCACATGCCTATAGTCCTACCTATTCAAGAGACTGAGTTAGGAGGATCACTTGAGCCCAGGACGTCAAGGTTACAATGAGCTATGATCACTCCACTGCACTCTAGCCAGGGCATTCATTCATGTGGAATGAGTAACATATGCCTATAAAGATTCAGCACTATTAATCCCATACCTATTTCAGCCAACAGGACTTCTGCAGTATGTCTATGAGCTGTCCCTTGATAAACAAGGCCGATGCCAACCACCGCAGCCACTTGGACATTGTGAGGAACATCCAGCTCTGTGGACGTTGGGGGTAAGAGAGCAGGAATGTGAATACTAAGAAGCCGAGTAATTGACATATCCATGGTGCCTA